TAGGGCCATCTATGTTGCTGGAAATAGTGTTACAGTAGTCCCCCACCTGGGCTTCCCTGGTGGCTCAGCTGGCAAAGAATCCACCTGCGATGTGGGAGACCTAGAGGAGGGAATGGCTACCCACTCCAGTATTCTGGCCTGGAGAACTGCATGGACTCTCCAGTCCATGGGGTCACAAAGAGTTGGACGCAACTGAGGGACTTTCACTTTCCCCTACCTACGAGTGAGTTCCACTCCAAGAGTGCGTTTGTAAGTCCAATTTGTTCGAAAGTTCAACAAAGACAGCCTAGGTACCCAACTAACACAATCGGCTATATAGTACTGTACTGTAATGGGTTTATAATAATTTTCACACAAATAATACATATAAAACAAACACAAAGAATGTTTTAATCTTAACAGTACAGCACCTTGAAAAGTGCAGTACTATGGTGCAACAGCTGGCATCCAGGGGCTGGCATCAGATGAACAGGCAAGAAGAGTGGGGGGAGGCGGGAGATGGTAGAGCTGGAGTCATCATCAATAGCAGATGGAGGGCAAGCTGCGATGTCACTCACGCCTGACGATGATCGCACAGGCTCTGGTTCCTTGCTGGATCCAATTCTATATGTCCTCTGGAAGAAACCACCAGTGATGTCAGGGTAGTAGCTCTTCTTTTCCTGCCATGGATGACATGACAGCACTGGACTGCATCCTCAGTCTCTTTGATTCTTCAATTACTTCTTCCTTGTGCCTCTCTGTCCTTTCTCCGGGCTTCCACTGCCATCAGGTCTTCATTAGGAAGCTCCTCGTTTGGCACAGCAAAAGTACTGTAAAGTACACAAAAGCACAACCACGTGTGGAAGATGCACACACGTGACAGTGTATACCACTCATCTGTCAGTGGACACTGAGGGTTGCTTCCATGTCTTGGCTATTGTAGACAACACTGTGCAATGAACACAGGTGCATATATCCTTTCAAATCATTATTTTCTCTGGATATATGCCCAAGAGTGGGATTGATGTGTCATACAACTTCCCTGGTGGCTCAGATGGTAAAGAATCCACCTACAGTGCAGAAGACGTGGGTTCAATCCCTGGGTTGGGAACATCCTCTGGAGGAGGGCGCGGCAACCCACTCCAGTATTCTTGCCTGGAGAATCCCACGGACAGAGGAGCCTGGTGGGCTACAGTCCATAGGGTCCCAAAGAGTCAGACATGACTGAGTGACTAAGCACAGCATGGTAGCTCTATTTTTCCGTTTTTAAGGAACCTCCATACTGTTCTCCATAGAGGCTGTACCAATTTACATTCCCACCGACAGTGCAGGAGGGTTCCCATTTCTTTATACCCTCTCCAGCATTTATTGTTTGTAGACATTTTGATGATGGCCATTCTGACTGGTATAAGATAATATCTCATTGTAATTTTGATTTGCCTTTCTCTAGTAACTAGAAATGTTGAACATCTTTTCATATGCCTCTTGGTCTGTCTTCTTTGGAGAAAATTTAGGTCTTCTGAGCATTTTTTTTTTTGATTGGGTTGTTTTTTTCCTCCAAAGAACCAGCTTTTAGCTTCACTGATCTTTTCTGTTGTTTTGTCTCTATTTCACTTATTTCTGCTCTGATCTTTATGTTTTCTTTCCTTCTATTAACTTTGGGTTTTGTTCGTTCTTATTCCTCTAATTGCTTTAGATGTAAGGTTAGGTTGAGGAAAGAACCCCATTTTAAATATCTATGTATGCATCCCAGTATCTAGAATATACCTTTCATGCAGTGTTATTTACCGAAATGAATTAATGGGTACTGTTGGATTATGTGGTTCCTTTTCACATTAAGGGGGATTGGAAAACTATAACATCCCAATCTCATCCTCGCTGATTAGATAAAAATTTGTGACTAGTTATTTTTTGGCTAGAAAAACACCTCTGCCATTTACAGATCTGAGCCACCCCTATCAAGGGCAAGAGCAGCACATAAAGAGCACATCTTTCCAAGGGACAGATGACTGGAACACTCCTAGGTGAGTAGGCAAGTCAGGCAACATGGATGGCATGTGTGGAGCCATGGCATAGAGGGCCCCTCCACTTCTTTCTCTCTCATACACACACACATGCTGGTTCCAGTTCCTCTCTTATTCTCTCTTGAGTCCATTCAAATATGGCTTTCACTCCACCAAAACTATTCTCGTCAAGGTCATCAGTGACCTGCATGTTGCTAAACACAGTAGTCAACTCTCAGTTCTCACCTTACTTAACCTGCCAGAATCATTGCCCAGGTTGATCTCTCCCTGTTCCCTGAGGGCTTCATTTGACTCCAGGACACAGTTGCTCTCCCAGTTTTTCTCCTTCCTCACTGGATGCTTTGTTTTCCTTTGCTGGTTCTTCTACTTCTTGAGCTCTTAACATTGGGATGCCCTATGGCATAGTTTGTGGGCCTCTTTCTTTTTCTATCTACATTCCTTCTCTTGGTGTTCTTATTCATTCTGATGGCTTTCAGTGCTGTCTATCTGCAGACAAATTCCAAATTTTATCTCTGCAGCCAGATTTAGGGTCCAGCTGCCTACTCAGCATCTTATTCAGATGTTTAATAGACATCTCAGATTTAACATTCTAAAACTGAACCTCTCATCTTTCCCTCAAATCTGCCCTTCTCACAGTCTCTCCATTTCAGTACATGACAATCCTATTCTAGTAGTTTTTCAAACCAATAACCCAAGTGTCATCCTTCAGTCCGTGTGTCAGCAAATCTACTGACTGTACCGTCACAATCAATATATCCAGAATCTGATCCCTTGTCAACACTAACATGGCTCCTACTCTGAGCGTTACTTAACTCTTCTGTGTGTCTTTCCTTATCAGTAACTTAATAGGGAAAATGGACTACAGCTTATAGAGTTAATATGTGGGTTAAAGGAAACAGTAAAGAATTCAACACAGTGCTGAGCAAACAGGCAGTGCTTCATTAATGTTAGCTTTTTATTATTACTGGCCTTTCTTTTCTAGAGGGTTTCAAGGAAATTTGGTAAAATTGAAGCCATCAGCCCTTTTCATATTAACTGAACTTTATTTTTCAACACATGCAATTTTGATTTTTAAGATTTCAACTAAATGAGTTGAAGGAAAGAAAATGTGTTACTGTGCTGACGGCTTACCTTCTGAAAAAGATGTAAACATTCTCCTTACCCAGAAGAACTGTCACAGTAAGAACCAAAAAGAGGGTTACAACAAACTGCTATTTGTAAAATAAATAAGATACAAGGGTTTAATCTACAGTACAGGGAACACAGCCAATATTTTATACTAACTTTAAATGGAGTTTAGTCTATAAAAATGTTGAATCACTGTGTTGTACAGCTGAAACTAATATTGTGAAGCAACCATACTCCAGTAGTAACTGAAGAATTAAGTAGCGGAGCAGCAAGCTTCCCTGGTGGCTCAGTGGTAAAGAACCCACCTGCCAAGGCAGGAGACACAGGTTCAATCCCTGGCCCAGAAAGACCCCACGTGCTGCGGAGCAACTAACCTTGTGTGTTCCCGCTATGGAACCTGTGCTCCAGAGCCACAGCTACTGAAGCCCGAGCATCCTAGAGCCCATGCTCTGCAACAAGAGGAGCCACTGCAGTGAGAGGCAGGCGCTCTGCAACTAGAGGGCAGCCCCCTTTCACTGCAACCGGAAACAAAGCCCGAGCAGCAATGAAGACGCAGTACAACCAAAGAGATAAAAATAAATAAATAGCATAGGGCAATGTGAATCACTGGACTTCCTCTCCAGCCTGTGAAGAGTAATTTTCAGCTGATCACACAACTGTAGCTTAGAAAATATTTTTAATTCAAGGTTATTGAGGTTGTTACATACGATACTGCATAGCTATAGACACCACTAGTTTCACAACCTCAAAGACCTTTGGGGATATGAGGAAACTTAGTGTTTCTACAACAACTGGGATAACAGCTATCAACTGTACAAAAATGCTTACTATTAACCTGTACTCCCACTTAATTTTCATCCCAGCTAATTATTAATAGGTAGAAAGATTCTTGAATATCCTTAAAATATCTAAGGTGTCAGCAATATTACAGTAATCTTATTTTATATGAAGCATCACAGGTAAGTACCCAAATGTATATATTAGACAAAAAATATCACTAAATTAAGAAAAAATATTGTACTATATAAGCAAAGAAAATTTCAGAACATTGTCCCTTTAATGCAGATACTTTGCATTGTGATATGAAATGGCTTTTGAATAGATAAGATGTTTGTCTAATTTTGTTCAAATATTTACAGAAAAATCATTTATTTTTTATTCTCTCTCATCCTGCATATATATATATATATATTCAAAATGGTTTAAGAAAAGATGTTCATCTAATTTTGTTCAAATATTTACAGAAAAATCACATTCATTTTTTTATTCTCTCTCTCTCATCCTGCATATATAATCTACCATTTGCTGGGTAATAAGAAAAACCCATGGTGAATTGTTTTATTCTTTATAAAATAAATTTTTATGTTGTTGCATATAAGAGCTAAGTAATAATGACTTTGGATATTTTAAAAGGAGGGAAATTACTCCACAATGAAATCATCAGGAGTTGACTATGCTTAATTGATCATTAGCTCTTCTTTGCCAACATTTGATTATATGTTAAACTCTATGATATTTTGATACAAAATTTATATTGTGTAAATAATCATACATATATATATGTATATGTGAGAGACTCAGGTTCCATCCCTGGGTTGGGAAGATCCTATGGAGGAGGGATGGCTACCCAGTCCAGCATTCTTACTAGAAGAATTCCAAGGACAAAGGAGCCAAGCAGGCTACACTACAGTCCATGGGGTCACAAACAGACATGACTGAACAACTTTGAGAGAGATGTCATGTGTATCTTTCATATTACATGCAAAAGTTGCTTATTAAACATAAACTCCCATTGTTGCTCATTGTGGGATCATTTCAGCTAGTCCATATACACTAAAATGCTAATTTTTATTTATTTATTTTTTGTAGGAAGTCCTGGCTGAGCAAGATTGGAAGTCCTAGTTCTCGCATTGACCGCACAAACTTTTCCAATGAAAAAACCATCTCTAAACTTGAATACTCTAATTTTAGTATTCGATACTAATAGGAGAGAAATTAAAATTGTAATGCTTATACTGTACAATAGAATAGACTGTATTCTTAAATCTGTATACTAGTGACAGTAGTAGAATAGGGTAAAAAAAGAAACTTTCTGTTCCGAAAGCTGCAACATTACGTTACTAAAAATGGTTGACACTGAAATAGTTTTACTCAACAATGTTTTTAACAAGCCAAATTTAGCATTCTAAAATTTTAAATGTCATTACAAAATGTTTAATATGAATATTTTATTTAAAAACTTGTCTCATGGAATCTTTAATTCTAATGAATATTATGACATACATGTTATTTGGCTGGACATAAAATAATAAGTTAACCACTTAAAAATTATTTTGGGGTATTATCTGAATTGAGTTCTAAAATCTCTGAATAATAATTTGTTGTTAAAGTTGAGTACTTTGTTTAACAATAGCAAAATAACCAGTAGTTTGATATAAATGTATATGGTGATCAGCATAGCCTTAAAGTCAATAAAGAGTTAACTTTAAACTCTGATTGAATGAGAACGTGATTCAGTACTTCTACTGGAGCTACTTAATGCTTTCTAGGAACCATATTCTTCTGTATGGTGAACAGAGGAGTGAAGAAATGGCAATGGTAGTATATAGCAAGCAGCAAGGTTTATATTTGCAGCTACCCATAATGGATGTCTTATGAACCAGGAAAGGAACTGAGAGTCTAAATAAATCACACTGTCCCCCAAATTTGGGGACTTCCCAGGTGGCACTAGTGGTAAAGAAACCACCTGCCAAAGCAGGAGACTTAAAGAAATGTGGGTTCGATCCCTGAGTTGGGAAAGTCCCCTGGAGGAGGGAGGGCATGGCAACCCACTCCAGTATTCTCCCCTGGAGAGTCCCATGGACAGAGGAGCCTGGTGGACTACAATCCATAGGGTCACACAGAGTTGGACACCACTAAAGTGATTTAGCACAGCACAGCCCCACCCTGAAATCTGGCCTGTCATCTGGGGATTCTCAACATACAGATAATAATTAAGCGACATAAGTATTTTAAGGGAAAGTTTTCTTTCTTTTTTGGGGGGCGGGGGAGTTTTATTTCTACACCGCAGAATTATACTCTGGAGAAATGGAGACCTTTAACTCAAATATTGGGGAATTTCAAATATATTTCAAATGTATGTAGGTACAATATATACTTATAGAGGGCTTCCCTAGTGGCTCAGATGGTGAAGAATCTGCCTGCAGTGCAGGAGACCTGGTTCAATCCCTGGGTAAGGAAGATCCCCTGGAGAAGGGCATGGCTACCCACTCCAGTATTCTTGCTTGGAGAAAGACAGAGCAGCCTGACGGGTTACAGCCCATGCAGTCACAGAGTCTGACACGACTGAGCGATTAACACACATATTCACATATCCCTTCAGTGATTTCCAAATTTTTGTAACAATGGAATCCACTAAACCAATTTACATGGAATTAAAGCAAGTGGAAAAGGACAACCATTATGACTGAAAATGGGGTTCTGTGGAGCCCTGAACGCTTGGTCTCACTTTCCTTCCTGGATCTTGTCCTCTGCAATTGTGCAATAATTTCAAATGCCTTGGGAATACAGGCTAGAAGCCATTTTTCTATCTGTGGAGCAAAACTCTATTGCTACTACTCCATGGCATAGAGAAAGAATTCAGGCCACTCTTCTCTATCTGCTGCAAGATTATAATTAAGGAGATGAAGCATGGGCTGCCTTTTTTCATTCACAATGATTAATTTGATGATAATACTGATATCAAATGTATATAAGAGAACACAGCATTAAAGAATGACAAAGATTTTTTTTAAACTTTCCAAATACCCTTAAAGGAATAAAGAGCTTTCCTATTGTTTTAATATCCTCATCATGTAAAGACGACTCCGTTGTGTTATACATTTGGGTTTTGCTCTCCTATTTCCTTACTCCTGGTTCAAACAAGGTAGACAAGTCTTTGAGTTCCTTTGTCTCAAGATGGGTTTTGGTGCCAGATCCCCTGAAGACAACTTTTCTTCCAAGGTTTCATTTTAAAGGGGGCATTATGTTGTGAGTTGAGGAAAAAGACAAACACTACCCCTTTAGCAGGTACAAGAGAAGCAGAAGTGGCAAAAGTGAAGGGGACAAGGAGATGGTCCAAGACTTTAAAGGCAGTGGATTTCCCAAGAGATGGAGACCTTCCCCTTTCTCCCCAATAGCACCTCTGGGGGGATGGCCAAAACAGAGAAGGGAATAGCTATGGTCCACCCAGAAAAGCTGGATGCAAGGCGCAGGGGCTCTCAGCCCTAGCAAGATTGCACCCCACAGGTGCTGCAAGACATCCTGGCTACAAGTGAACATGGTGGCCTGGAGAGCAGTCATGGTAACTGGTATGGACAAAAGGCCAGAGAAGTCTTTCCTCAACGTTCTGTTTACTTTAGACTCTTTATTACATGATCCTTTTGAGGATGAAAGATTCAACTTCCCACCTCCCAGCCAGGCTGAGGCTTGAAGCAGGCTCAATTTGACTTGGAGAAAGTAAAACAGACATTTCTTACAGTCAAGTTGAAAATAAAATCTGTATCTCTTTACACATAGAAAGGCTAAATGCTTTTAGAAAAATGCAATCTCAAAAGTGACACCAATATGTCACTTTTTATTACCCTGATTTCCTCTGGTAGTTCCCTTCCCTGCTCTCTTCATAAGAAAATCACACTCTGCTAGCACAATCTTCTGACTGCACAAAGTGAATCACATTAGTCAAGGCTACTTAATGATTAATACAGAACTAAGTTCTATTACTGGATGAAAAATGTTGTAGATAATGATTAAAAATGGGTGGTTATAGTGGATAGAAAGAGAAAAAAGGTAAAGCAATTTTAAAAATGTGTTATCAAGACCAGACAGCACATTCTAACAGTGAAGTTAATGTGGCAATATTCATACTGAACTTATGCAGGGAGTTTTAAATGTACATATCATATTTTATCTTAAAATATGATGTTACATAATTTATCATATTAACAAGGTTTGTTTAATAACAAACCTTGATAGCTTTAATTTTTCCAAAAGTATGCATTTAAAAAAAAGACTAAAACAACTAAGCAAAAGATGGGTTTCTACTCCAATGACTGTTAGCTGGGAGTCTCCACACTCCACATGCCCACACCCTCCTCAAGAAGCAACACGCTGGAATTAGGGGAATATGATTTGTTAAAGCAGGTAACTATGTTTCATATTTATATAAAAATGCCTTTTTAAAAAGCTAACCTGAAAAGTAAAGCTCTTGACTGGAAACTGAAAAGTGAAAGTCTCTCAGTCCTATCCGACTTTTTGCAACCCCATGGACTATATTTCTCCAGGCCAGAATACTGGAGTGGGTAGCCTTTCCCTTCTCCAGGGGATCTTCCCAACCCAGGGATCGAACCCAGGTCTCCCGCATTGTGGGTGGATTCTTTACCAGCTGAGTAACCAGGGAAGATGCAAAAGATGGATCCTTTAGCAGGCTGGGTGCACAGAAGCAATAAGGGTGTCGTAGAAACGGGAGATTCTTCTATTAGGAAAGCTGTGGGCTTCTAAGCTTGAGAAAAAGCAATTCAAGTTTCATCAAAGACTGGGAATCTCTGAAGAAACATGTGCTTCAAAAGTAGGCACTTGTGGTCACAAAGAGCAGAGAAGCACTGAAGGGGGCAACTAAGTGATGGGGGTGGATATGGCAACAACCCTCAGTAGTTTGACTTTGCTGGAAGGTGGTCACCATTTTTACAATGAAGCATTTTCAACTCAATCAAAGGGATTTTTCAGAACCAAATGTCTCTAAACTCATAAAGACAACAAACAATCCACTTTTAAAAATTAGCTTGTATTTGGAAATATTTTTCATATAGTAGCTCTCCCTGGCCTCCATTAATACAGATATCAAAACATATTCACAACTTGTTAAAAGGACAAGATTTTCATGTCTGGAACTCATTTCGGGAGCTGAAAATAGGCACCATGGTATGGTAGAGGATATTCTGGTCTAGGAATCAGGAGACCCGCATTCTGGGCTCAGCCCACCCAGGGATCAACTGTGTGCTTAGATGCCCTCAATCACGAAGTCAAGAAGTTGGACTGAACTGGGACTTCTCCCAGGATTCCCATTAAGACAGAGACCTCCCAGGAGGTGAAGGAAAGCTACTGAAGGGCAATGAGGAAGCTGGGCAGCTGAGAGCCCCAAGAAGAGCAGCCCTACTCTCCTTTCTTTCCTATATTAGGATTCTCCAGAAGACATAGTTTGAGATGAATTCTGCCTCAAACAAAGAAACAACAAAGACACTAAATCTAGTATCTTGGGTCTTTTCTAAATTTTTATAAGTGCTAAACTCAAATGCATTGCCCATTCTCTTGATCACTCTTGTCAAGTCAGTGTGATAGGTATACTTGACCTGCAGACATTTTTACTACTGTGACGAGTCAGTACTGGAAATAAATTTTTAATTTTCATAGTGGCCTCCATAAGGTCCACGATAGTTAAAATATTTCTGAAATTAATGTTCTGTTGTTCTGTTGTCTTTTCTATTTTGATGTTACCAAAATAAAAAAATATGCAAGAGGAAATACAAAAATATAATTAGTGGGTTAATGTACTTTATATGGATATCTTGGAGATGTCAACCTAACATTCAGGATTATGTGTAAAAGGTAATTTTCCTTTTCTTAACAGGTTCAAGTGGTCTTGAATAAAACCAAAGTCTTATAAAAATTTAAAATTTTAGCATTAAAAAGTCTAATTGCTCTGTGATCTCACTAGCAGATTTTTCTATAAGGTGGGTTCCTGCCCCTTCTAGAGAGCAAGACTTATGATTTCTCCTCTGCTGAAAGGAGGGTAAACTTTCGTGGTTGAATGCCCAAGATAATTATTTCATCCTCAAACTACATTTTTCTTTCATTAGTTTTATTTTCCATGTTGCCACAATGAACTATGCAAGAATCAATGAATACAAGTTTCTAATTGTGGCATCTTTTTGTTTTTCCTTCTATTTT